GAGAGGCAGAAAAATTATTTCAAGTTATTTATGCTAAAGGTGGCTGTACAAGCTGCTGAATCATGGTATGTAGTTTTTTTTCTCACCAGGCTGCACATACTCCTGCAGAGATTTTCTTTATCACAGAACTGTAAATCAATTTCTTTTTAAGTCATCATCTCATATTTACAGCCTAGCAACACACCCAAAACCACCCTGATCTGTCACATTTACTCAAAACAGACTCCCTCAGTAATCAAAGTTCTGCTTTTTTCACCAAAAATCCAGGTTTCAGTTCATAATATCTGAAAGGAACCCATGCCACAAGTGTGCTGTTACTCTGGCAGTCTGTTGTATCAGTCTGCTGAATGACTTGAACCAAAATAATGCATTGCTGCTGTTCGGGTTTCAGTTTAAAAACACCCCAAAGAGGCTCAAAACATCAGCAGGCCCGGAGGGGAATCGTTTCTGACCTGAGCTTGGACAACAGGTGGAGTCTCTGTGGTTTTGGCCTCCTGTCGAAGTCGCTTTCCCATTCTTCTGCTTACAAAGCATCAACTGCAGGACCTGACTAATGACTTGCTGGCTAATAGACATCCAGCCTTGAACAGGTGCTGCTGTAACCTGATGTTATTCAACTCACCTGTCACTGGTTTTACTGATACGGCTGACTGAGCAGGGTCATTTATCAGCTCAGCTGTATGTGCAGCAATATTTTTAAAGTTAAAAATGTTTCCTAACATGAATTTATTTGCCCGATTTATTTGCCCACTGGCTTCTAATCACTACATTGTTTTGTTTTGTAGTGAACCACGGCTAACGGACCTAGAATAGTAAGATTTACTAGTGAAGAAGCCTCGAGGTTAACATTTAAACCTTTAACACTTTAGTCACCAAAATAATTTGGTAGCTGCAGGCCTAAGCTATACTTAAGTTATACTTAAGCCTCAAGCCTTAAATAATAGCTCCTTTCATTTTGATTAAAAAAAAAAAGGACAGGACATTTATGTAGCAATAACCAGTCACTGGATAGAGCCAGGCTGCTTGTTTTCTTCCCTAGTTTCCTGCCGTTATGCTAAGCTAAATTAACCAACTGCTATGTGGGTTAATAACAACCAGCCTTCATTATTGAAATAAGTGCATTTAAAAATGCAGAAATGCTTCTTTTGCATCTTTAGATCCTGAGATTTTGTTTTTCATTTCTGACCCTTATAATTACTGTTTTTGAGAAACTATGACTGTATTGTTTTTTGTTGTAAACTTATTGTCCTTATATGGTGTCACAATTTAAATGGAAATTAGCAGAAAGATGCTTAGTTTTTATTTGAGATAATAACTCAGGCGAGAAATATATTTCTCCGTGGCTGAAACGAGCTTCCATAGAGTCACAACATTAACTGCTTGTGCTGGATTTAAGCTCTATGTTACATTGTTAGCTGCTATTCCAGTGTATATACTGATATTACTACACACATAGTAATAACCTTCCCTAAATTATTCCATAATTTACTCTGACATCTTAGTACTCTGCACCATTACACAAATGAATATCATATAGCACGTGTTGCTATTGTCTGTAAAGAAAAATCAATTGCTTCATCAGCTGATTGCAGTGACTTTGTGTCAGTGACCTCTGTGGGTGGCTGATATATATACTTTGCACTTTGCTTTCTAGTGTTAGGTGATAATATTTTGAGACAAACCTTTCTTTTAGTAAAAGGATTTTTGCATCACAGAACCAAAGTAGTAAACAGAATATTTCTTTAAATCCAGATGTTCTTATATTCTTAAGCAGCCTTAAGAAAAAAACATCACAACACAACAGCTTTAAACTGCTGTTAAATGAGCCTCTGTGTTTTTCACAGATTTCCGTTGCTTATCTCAGTGATACGGATGAGATGGAAACACACACAAGCCACAGAGTAGAGGATTGTTGTATTCAGGGGGCTGCAGGAGAACACCTGACTTAAACCCAAGAGTACATAATGAGAGACAACCACAGCACGAGCCCCTTTCTGTCCATGTGAAAGGATCCAGTGAGAGCCTCATGCTTGTTGCCCTTGGAATGCCCCTGGGTCTCTTACATAAGGCCTCTCGGGCCAGCGGCAGCCACATATTCAGTCAGCAGCCTCTCCAGACTTCCATAGAAACCCAGTTGCAGACGGAGGCCAGGATTCCCTGCTGCGAACCGTGGAGAAGAGTTGTGAAACACTGCAATTATGGACTTGTGTAACTGCACAAGTCACTCAGAGAGATTTACGGCTAACCGTTATCACTGTTTAGGTAGTTGAGGTTTCTGGAGCTGGATAGAGGACATAAGCCACAAATATCCGCTTGGCCTTACAAGCTACATGAACGTGCACGGGTCTTTACACACAGCGGGCTTGTAAATGTCTCTTTCTGTGTTAATTTGACTTTAACTGATGGCTGTGACACAGAAAGATTTAGATTTCAAAGCACAAGTTTAGAAAATACTTAATTGTTGCTTAAAACTCTTTTCTATATCCTCACTGAGATTCTTTTTGAGTGACAGCTTTTTACCTTTTTTTTCCCCTTAACCTCAGCAGCAAACCCACATGCACCACTTGTTTCACCTTGTGCTTCTTTGTGGGTGTTTTGTGCATTTGAAAGTTCTCACAAGTCTTTTTCTGTGGTCATTTCAGTCTTCTTTCGCAGGTTTGCTTCACTTCGTGCTTGTTTTCCGTTTGTGTTTGTTTGATTGACATGTTAAGTTAACTTGGAGCTGATCCAGGGTTACTGGACAATTTCCTGACTGAGGTAGGATTATCTAGGGCAGCAAAGGCACCCCTGGGCACTCCTTTGGTCCTTCTCTGCAGCAGGGAAAAGCTGAAAGGTGCTCTGGCTTTTGCCATTACCACCTTCCACCTTCTGTAATTTACTAACTTTTTAAAAAGTGGTGCTCTATGTAAAAATGTACATTTGAAGAGCTGGAGAAAGTAAGAATGAGACTAACTCGGGTTCTTCAGCTTTAACGAACATGTTTTGCTTTAATTTCACAATAACACACTAGACAGGTACTTTAGGTATATATGTCAATACAGTGGCATGCAGAAGTGTGGATAATTTGCAAAATAGTTTAGGTTACTGTGAACAGCTAAGCAAACAGAGGATGGATTGATCTCCAGAAGGCAGAAAATTATAGATTTTTAACATTTTACGCAAGATTTGACCTCACAAATAATTTTTACTAAAGTCTCAGACCTTAATTTGCTTTTAGGTCTATGGCTTATTCGCGATAACTGGGAAAAGTTGTGAGTTTCATATTTTAAAGCTTTATACACTCTGATATTGCTCCTCTAAGGCGCTCCATAGCAGTCTGGAGATTAAAACAAGTGGTGCCCACTCAGGAGGAGAGAGCAAAGCATTTTCAGATAGTTGATCCTGAAGTCTGCAAAGAATTTAAGGTATACTGGAAATGCAGCTCAGGTGCGAAAGACAAGGAAAACTTTGACCTTTGGGAAGATTTATCAGAGGCTGGAGACGTTGTGCACCGACCTCCTGCGCCGTGAAACGTGCAAATATGACTCATTGGAGAGTCAGCAGACGAAACTCATCAGGCCAAATAAGCAAAGGTATGCTTGGGGGAAAAAAATGGATAAGGACTTTCATTAGAAGAATACTTGTTCAACTGTTAAGCATGGGGATGGCTTTGACCATGCTGTGCTGCAGCCAGTCCTGCAATCACTGGTGAAAAGAAGAGTGGATTGATTTAAATACCGGCAAACACTGGACAAAAAGATCTGAAGATGAAGTGCAGACTTCTGACAGTTTTCCAAGACCCTCACAGTCAACCAACAGAAAAAAGTGACCATGCAGAGGGTAAACCTATTATTTACACACTTTAAAAATAAGTCCATTAACCATTATTTGCCTTTTGGAAATAAGGTAATTGTTTATTAACTAGTCACAGGAAGTCATGTTGACCAGCAGTGGACAAACTTTTGCATGCCACCATACAGTTCAAAAACACATCAGCTGATTCATCATAACTAAAATTAAAAAAACAAAAAAAAAACCAAAAAAAAAAAAAAAAAAAAACCACCACACGCACGCACGCACACACACTTGTTTTCGATTTGCACATAGAGCTCAAGTCATAAAAGAGTAAAAGTGACCAAACATTACAAATGGAAAAAAAATACATATCCCAGAACACATTTCTATAATGCAAAATAAATCAAAGAGTGGAAATCCAAAACTCATCAACAGGTCAACTTCACACGGTATCTGTGCTGATGAGGGGAAAAGTCGAAACAAATTCAAAGGCCACTGTATGGACTTCAGTTCAGCAAACAACCAGCTCGGCTCAGCTGTCCACAGCAGAGGACACACAGAGCTATATGATGAGTCATTCCCCCACACACTGTCATGAGTAATATAGTAGGATACCAGCAGACGCTGGTAAGCAGCAACTAGAGCTCTTAGTGGAGCTGTTAAAAAGTCGAACACCAGGTCTCAGTTTGGTCATGCAGACAACACAGAAGGTCCTGGATATATAGATATTTAAAATAAAAAAAAAAACCAAAAAAAACAAAAAAAAAACCTCCCTCAGCATGGATTGTGACAAGGTGCCGAACACATTCATGAGGGTTTTTAAAACCCAACAGGCCAACAGAAAGCTTTCCGGTACAAATTCAGACGGAGGTTTCACTAAATGGCGAACAGTGCTCGTTTCTTTGCAACTCTCTGGCTTGCGAGGCATCGAAATTTAAGAATAAACGTTTATTTAATTAATTAGGTGACTGTGCCACTGCGAGAAGTCCTGTTACACCGAGTCGACTATGCTTAGTGCCATATTGCAACAGTTTTCTTTAATTAAAAGGCAAGGTGAGAGAGGTGTTGGTACGGCTTTTGTATCCAGCTAACGACTGCAATTAAATCCGAGTCAAGGCCAGACGAAAACGTCTGAGAAACAAAATCATTATAAAAAACATCACACCTGGAAAAAAAACTGAATTCAGCATAGATGGTCTGTCAAAAGATTTCAAGAAGAGAGAAAAGAGAAAAAATAAATGTTTATCATCCAAACTAAACATTACAAACAGCATCTACAGAGAATAGATCATTTCTAATAACTTAGGTACATAAATTATTATGCAATACAATACTATTCCATCTGGAGGCCAGAGGGTAAAGAAAATAGGTGTGCTTGAAGCCTACACAAAAAAACAGGAAGGTAGACTCTTTTCCAGCAGGTCCATAGGCTAAATAAATAACCTAGTGATGTGTGTGCTGTGTGTCCATTTGGAGGAGGGAATGTCCCTCTGATCCCTTCGGTCCACTGAGAAGCTTTGGCACAGAAACACCATGAGACGAGATGAGACATCACAACACGGTGCTAATGACGCTCATGCAGGCCTTGATCCAGTACTAGTGGAGATGAGGTCAGTGCAACCCAACATGCATCGCAACCATACCCTCATACTGCCAGAGCCACAGACAACAAGGGAGGGACTGAGTGGCGGAGGAGAGGCTTGGGGGGGTTGAACTAATGCTCAATGTATGAACATGGGAGGGAGTGAAAGGGGTTCAGGCGTGTAGATGGGCAATAATCGAAAATAAAAGGACCTATCGGGGGAAATGATTAAGCCACAAAAAGTACAGCTTCCTGCAAATGATGATGATGTTTTTGCTCAAAGTGGAGGTTTTCTTGCTTCTCCTCTGCTCTTCTCCACACCCTTCATCTCACAGAGATGACTCCACTTCTCTGGCAATCCTGACCTCAGCCTCAGACCCAGGGCACACCTGAACTACGACCCCCGCCGCCTCTGAAGTCTCACTGATCACCTCCAGGTTTGAAGCGACTGCAGCCTTCTTGTCAGAGCCAGTGTTCTGTTTGTCCGCAGCGCCGCAGCATAGCTTGGGAGCGCACTGAGTCCGACAGGAGAGCTCGCACAGGGAGTCTCGAGACTCTGAGCTGAACGTGACAAACTCGGGCTGGATGGTGGTGGCGTGGATGCCCTCGTTGTGGAAGAAGTCCTTGATGCGTTTGGCCACCTCCATGTAAGATGTGGGGTCGTGGCATTTGATGTGCGCCGTGGCGATGATGCGGCTTCCGGCCAGCTGCCAGATGTGCAGCTCGTGGATGGCCAGGACGCCGTCCAGGCTCAGCAGACGCTCGTTGAGCCGGTGCATGTTGATCTGCTTGGGCACGGTCTGCAGCAGGATGAGGGCCGACTCTTTGAGGAGAGGGTAGGTAGTGTACAGCAGGATGCTCACCATGATGATGCACAGCGTGGGATCAAGGTAAAGAACCCAGCAGGGGCCGGCGAACTTCATGGTCGGCACAGTTGGACCCACGTGCAGATCGACAACGGTGTTGTTGTCATGGTAATGGTCAGCGGAGTGGCTGTTGACGCACGGATTCACGCACTTCTCACCTTTGATGCAGGGCTGCCACACAAAGGTGAATATTACAGCGTTGACCACTACGATGACGGAGCCCAGGGCGTCGCCCAGCACATGCAGGAAGACCCCGCGCATGTTGAGCTGCGACGACGAGTCGTGGTCGGGATCCATCTCCTCATAGTGGGTGTTTCCATTCATCTGCACCTCTGTGCTGCCTTTACAGCTGATTTCTAAAGATTAAAAAGGGAAAACAGAGATTAGTTTGGAACAGTTAAATAATCAAATGGACTTTGACACACAGGTTTCACACAAATTATATAGACCAGGGTTTATCCTACATAAAGAAGCATGTGTTTCCCACACACCCTGAAAGAAGATTTTATCTGGGGCTAACAGGTTTGTTAGTATTTAATATACTAAACCATAATAACACAGTTTAGGTTATCAAATTGTAAGAAATTGCAAGGACTAAGGTAACACAGTCCCTTTGTCTAGACTGACTGTACCCCCCACCCCACCCCACGGGCCCATTCTGAGCATGGGGACTATGCACACTGAACGATTGTTAATCATATAGTTAAGATGGGGGGGGGGGGGGGGGGGGGGGGGGAATCATGTCACCTGACAACAGAATTCTGTGCATTGTCCTGTTGTTTTTGGTCATGTGATAAGAAAACATGTATTCAGTTTTGAATAAAATTAAACCCCACTTTCCAACACCGTCAAAAACTCCCAGTGAACCCTACTCGGTTTTGTTTTTCTCCTGGTAAAAACTCTGGATGCCATCAAATGGCAGCCAGCTGTTAAATACAATGCCATTATTAAGAGCGAAAGGGGAAAAGTTCATGTGAAACTACATACAATGTTGCAGATTTCACTGCTGAAGACTTCATCTTGTGACTGAATCTGTGCTATATAACTGCCCAAGGCCACACTCAGGAAAACAACATGCCAGATGACCAAAGAAAAAAACCTAAACGCAGCAAAATGCTGCTCAGTAATTCACATTAGGCAAATTCAGTTAGTAATGGCAGGCAACACACTCTAAGCTGGGGCAACGGCACCTGAGCAACGATGGCTCGCTTCCATCCCAGGGACCAAGCTGGTCTATTCATCAGTGGCTAATGGTGTGTCTGGGGCTGTCGACTCCACAGCTACACTGATGTATGGCCCAGTAACAGCAATCAGTGCATGGAGGGGCAGGGGATATAACCCCCATTTATTGAAACTGGCAGGGTCTAACAGTGCGGGGGGAAGAATAAATGAGTTTCTGTATGTTTAACCCTTCAGTTAGACTGACCAGCAGAAAGGGCCACGGAAGCTCTCCAGTGCTGCTGTGAAACTTTTTAACTGACATGCAGACACCAACATGAGGTTATCAGTACAATCAACTTGTCTGGTAAGAAGCGTTTAATGTAACAAAAATGTATGGTGGACAAGCTGATTGTCCAGCTGCTGCCCCACTTTGGCCTTTGACCGGTTTTTCTTCCACTCAATACCTTGTAGAAGCACAATTAAATTAAGAAGAAGCTAAAATAAAAGCTGCCTGTATGCAGATGAGTTTGTTTTGCTTCTGATTCCTTGCTGATAGCTGACAGCCAGGTGAGTGTAAAGGGGGGGCACCTACTTCACTGCATTTATTTTTAAGCTTTAGTTACTAATTATTTAGCAGATAAGGTAACTCACTAAGCCAGGGGTGCCCAATCCCGGTCCTCGAGAGCTACCGTCCTGCAGCTTTTAGATGCATCCTTGTTCCCACACACCCGAATCAAATGAATGGCTTGTTATCAGGCCTTTGCCAAACATGATGGCATGCTGAAGAGGTAATCAAACCATTTGATTCAGCTGTGTTGGAGTAGGGATGCATCTAAAAGCTGCAGGATAGTAGCTCTTGAGGACTGGGATTGGGCAGCCCTGCACTAAGCTCTTCAGGGGGTCAGGAGACTTTACAAGGATCCCACTATAAGTTTTAAATACCGGCCCAAGCTACAGTCAGTGTGGAAATTCAGGTAAAAACTTAAAATCGAGTTCAGTTTGACTCAGCTGTGTCAGTCAGAAACTTCTCGTTATCATTATTTAGAAGCCAGAGTGAAACCTGAGGCTTTACCCAGGAATGTCACCAACACGGAGACCATGTTTCCAAGGATAGAATAACCCAACAAATATGAGACGCCAAACACATATGTCAAGAAAAAACCCCAATACGGATTAGTCACTTGGGCAGTTCTCAGGGCAGGCTGATGCACTGTTACACAATCTGGAGTGCTAACAGTGAAGATAAAGACTGGCACATGTATCCAGATTAATGGTGAGATAGTGAGGGTGGACTGTCCATTTCAAAACTAAAGCACCAACAACTCATTGCTCACCATTTCTTGGTCTCCCATCGCCTGGGCTGTTGTGATTTCCCACCAAGTTGTTGGTCTCCTCTCCCGAAGACCCGTTTCCAGCCTTCGAGTTCTTGCTCGTTTTGCCCCGCTTATTCTTACTCCCATGAGAGTGCCCTCCGTGAGAGTGTCCGTGGCCTCCGCCCGCGTGGCCGTGGAACAAGCAGAGCCCCAGCAGGTTAACCAGAAGCCCCGCGGCACCGACCCCGGCCACCACCACTGGAGACTCGATCTCGTGGGGCTCGGTGAAACGCTCGACCGCCTCCAGGACGATGGTGAAGCACAGCGCCGTGAGAAAGACGGCATTGACCAGAGCCCCCATCACCTCCGCTCGGATCCAGCCGAAGGTGTTCTTGTTGGTCGCCTGGGTTTTTTCCGCGAACCGAACCGCCACTAGAGCCACGACGAGTGCGATGACATCCGACAGCATATGGAAGGAGTCCGACAGCATTGACAGGGACGAGGTCATCCGACTGACCACCACTTCCACGATGAAAAACCCAAAAGTCAATGATAGCATGCACAGCAGCCGGGCACGATTGGGTTCGCAAGCCATTTTTCCTTCCTCACAGTCGATTCAAGTTTAAGTTAGCGTTGAAGAAATCAGCAGGTTTGAGAAAGCCCAAGAAATCCCCACGACATCCGCTGGTTGGCTTTCCCGTTTAACTCCGGGCTACGTTAAGCTAGCTTGGCTCCCTGAGACAATACGATCGCTGGTAATATCATCCGCGTAAAACACTCTTATTCGGCGACGGCAGCAACACTCGGCTATATCTGAGGACAAACACACACCGAATCAATTGGCGATTAAAAAATGATTCAGCAACCGTATAAATACCAGCACCTTCCTCGCTCGTTTTGCCGACGAGCTCCGCTTTGCAGACGGCTGAAACTTTGCACCCGAGCCGGTAAACTTTCCACACGGAACACGGCACATAGCGGGACACGCCTACTACGATTTCCGTTGGTCGACGAGCTACAGAGAGGAACGTAATTGGTCACGTTCTGCAACTCTTGCAAGTAGGCGGCGCAAAGAAGCCAAACAACGGTGGTTGCTACGCACGCTAATGGCAATTGTAATATCGCGATGAGGTCCGTAACTGATTCGTAAATCTTGGCGTTTCAGCTGAAACCAGGTGACTGCGAAGAATCACAGAAACTGAGCCCTTATCAGTAAAAACACTTTTTTATACAATCAGTGGTCTTTACTCAGCTTTTAATCACGGAAAAATCCCTAAATAAATTTACTGATGTTCCAACTACACACTATAATTGCTTCCTTTATTTTATATTTTATTTTCCAAATGTCCGTATACTTACGCTGTAAAATGATTTAATTTTACATTAAGTTAAATACAAGTTGCCCCCCCCTCCAAGAAAAAACCAACCAAACAAGCAAACACAAAAAACCTCAGTAATCAAGCCAGTAAGCTACCAGCTTCAATGGAAATAAAGACAGATGTAACAATAAATTACATCTAATCTGCTACTTACTCAAAGCAAAGGCTTGTTTGCAAATTGCATTTTAATATCTTTTCATGGAAAAGTGATGACCCCTTGTGGGAGCTAGTGTTATATAAAAACAATTCCATTACTATGAAAATGATCAGCCCAGCCTGTAACTTCTCTTTTTCATATACATCTATTGCTACGCTAGTGTGAAAAACCACAGGAGAAACTAGTTTTGGCCCAACTTAGACCCACTACAGTCTGTATACATATGAAATATAGCATATTGCATAACAGCCCTGTGATAGACCCCAGGGCAGATTCTTTTTTTGTGGCCGGGCAAACAGATTTATCCCTGTTAAAGTAACATAGACAGCTGTAATGTCTCTAGGCAACAAACAAGAGAAGCACACATTTCCCCACAAACTGAGTGGAGTAAGAATTCCTCATTTATCAGTCATGTTTGCTTGTTGATATATCAAGTATACACATATTAGAGCAGGGGTGGGGAACTCCAGGCCTCAAGAGCTGGTGTCCTGCAGGTTTCTCACCCTGGGTCATCACACCTGAATCAAATGATTAATTCATTACCAGGCCTCTGGGGAACTTCGAGACATGTTAAGGAAGTAATTTGGCCACTTAAATCAGCTGTGTTGGATTAAGGACATATCTAACACCTACAGGACACCGGCCCTCGAGGCCTAGAGTTCAACACCTGTGATCTAGACCCTCTACACCACTTACTGTACAGGCAGCAGAACATCTTCTCTAACTGAAGGATTCAGCTCCACTGCCACCAGAACACCTCTCAGACCACATCCTCTTTCCTTCTATAATACAGCATATCTGTTTGGCAGATACTAAAATTATTACATCATTTCAACTGCTATATAAAAAAAAAAAAAAAAAAAAAAAAAAAACCCCAAATGGTATAGAACAAGTATTTATCATCACATCATGCCTACTTTAATGTAGTAATGAATATAATCACTTTGTTTATTGACATCACAGGATCATGTCATTCCACATAGTCTCCCTTCTTCTAGAGATGTCTCTAAAGAAGGTCTACAGCCATAAATACAGCAAAAAACTATACACAGTACATTGATAATCGCATTAGCTGCCCAAGATAACACACTCACTCATCAGGCTACATAAAAATAAGACAGTAACACACACACACACACACACACACACACACACACACACACACAGCTACACATGAACATTTTCATCCAGTTGTTATGACTCCAGGCCTTCAGAAGCTTTCATGGTCACACCTGTGCGATCAGCGCAGGCCGAGGATTTGCCTGCTCTTGAGCTGGCACATCTTCTCCATTTCACTCAGAGCTTGGCTCCGCTGGGCCGCTGCCTGCAGCCTCTTCAGCAGCACCAGCTCCTGGGACGGCGCGCTCTGCAGAGCATCGGGCCGCTGGTTCTCTTTGCTCTCGCCAGCAAAGTGGACCTTCTTCTTACCCGGAGAGAGGTTCTCCGCATCTAGACCAAAACAGTCACGTAAACTTGTTAACAAATCACAATCTCAACAGCTGTGATTCTGAGGTGTGTCGTGTGAGCTTTTAGAACTGCAACTTTTTAAAAATAATTTCTTTATTGTTGTATAAAAAAAAATAAAATACATTTGATCCAAAGTCATTCACATTGTCGACACATGCGTTAAAACACACGTTAAAAGTAAACTGCTCAGCTCTGGTCTTGGTTCAGTAAGTTCAGAAGTCTTTGCTGGATTCCCATACCTATGTCTTTGTCATAGATCGGTGTCGTGTCCCTGTGGTGCTGTAGGCGGCTGTAATTCTTCAGCAAACTCTCCGCTCTGAAGCGGTTGATTCAAAATAAAGGGAAAAAAATTAAAATCAGCTGGAAAGACTGCCAAAGAATGGTTAGAATGAAAAAAAATGAATTGCTTAAATCATTTCTATCTTAAAAGTTTTTTTTACCGCACGAGCTTCTCATTTGCAAGTCGTTCACGAACACACAGCTCCTGCTCTCTTCCTGTAATTAAAAGACAAAAATGGACAGTTTCAGTTTGGGAATTTATCCCTCACTTTTCAAGAAAGTACACCCTCTTTCAAGTCTAAACACCAGGACATCCCTCAGAGGGTCTTAAAAATCAGGTAATATTTAAAAGGTTTCATTATGTCTGCACATGTAAAATCTTAGAATGAAAAGAGGAGGCATTTTATTTTATCATAGCTGTGTGTGACTAACAATCTCTTATTTCCACATATTTCTGGACACACACACACACACACACACACACACACACACACACACACACACACAGGAGCTGTAGGTGTAGAAGTAGGTCATCGTTTGGTTGCGACACCCCAAGCAACATGAACAAACCTGTTCCATCCACACAGGTTTCTTCAACTACACTTCCACCCTCTTAGCAAGATGTACCTAGTACTTTCTATGGTATTACTCAACTTTACTTATTGCTGCCAATGTGAAAACAAGTCCATAAACATGAGATAATACTGATGAGTCCTCTTTGCAGAAGAGGATGTTCCTGTTAGAAGTAGCCTCTTCAAACTGATGTAAATCAAATATTTCTCTACTAAAAATACAATACACAGTTTTTCTAATTTCTCCCAAAATCTAGGCCAGACTACAGCAACACTGACAGACATATGCTTGAGGTATGTGCGGCTCAAAGCAGGGCTTAAAAAGGTCTTACTCTCCAGCTGCTCCTCACGTTCTTTCAGTGCTTGTTCTCGGTCCCGCAGCGCCTGCTCCTTCAGTCTGATCTCCGTGGCCGAGGCGTGCGCCGTCTCTGCCGGTTTGTGGAGAGGAACATCAGAATCAGCTGATCTCCTTTGGAGTCGCGACTGTGCCTTCCTCTGCTCCTCAGCAACCGCCTCGCTCAGCAGGCTGCTCTGGAGAATAGATTCTACAGAAGGTCTCAAATAGTCCTGCCAAGAGAAGGGGCCCATAAATGAAACATAAATAGCCTTTTTTGTTCCTGCCAATGTGGTGCTAGTGTCGCTGCCACTGCCAGTGGTTTCATTTTGAGAACTAGTTCCCATTTCCACAAGTTTGAGGTCCAGTTATTATGTAATGCTGCTAGCAGAGGCTAGGGTAATATCTGTTGGCACTTTAAGGGTGGAAATGCCCCGAACCCATTCCAGATCAGACGCCAGCATCACGTCGGTGCAAAACCTTAGACCGCATAAAAGATGGATGTAGCCACCATGACATCCCAATCCACATGTCAAGTGTCCTTGGACAAGATACTGAACAACAAATTGGCCCAGTTCAGGATCTACCGAAGAGTGAGCAAGCGTGAGAAAGTTAGAAAAAGCACCTAAAGGCACCGTATGAATGTGTGTGAGAATGGGTGAATGTGGGTGGTGGTAAAAAGTGCTTAGAGTGCTCATTTAACTAGAATTTACAAAATTAACTTCACGTTTTATTCAGTGACCTAAAACTAGCACTTGAGTCCATAAAGTCATGGGAAAGTAGTTACTGAGGGCCAGTTTGCCATGGAAGGCACTAAAACTAGAGCAGTTGCCCCCTGCAGGCTGTTAGAAAGAATGCAAGGTTTGAAGTATTTCTGCACAGACTTCCCCTCTTCCAGATGTGGACACATGGTCCATCTTTTATACCATCTAAAATAATCAGATAGCTCAGGCACCATATCATGTAAATTTTAAAAATAAATTCAATTCCAACCTTTAAGTTGAGCATTTTGCCGAGCAGAGTGTTCAGCTCCTCAGAGTACCGGTACGGGATCCTTCTGAATTTGCCCTCTCTGATCTTTTCTGCCAGCTCTTTTTGGTTGTAAGCAGTAAAAGGAGGCCTGGAGAGGAAAAAGAAAAATGCAGGAAAAACTGCAAGATCTGCTGCCTAACAGTTTGCAGTGGGGAAATCAGCTAAAGTGGAACAGCTGGAAAACTTACGATAAGGCACAGAGTTCGTAGAGCAGACATCCCAGAGACCAAATATCGGACTTCTCGTTGTATGACATCCGGTTTATTTGTTCCTGACAGAAAAAAAAAAAAAAGAGATTATATTTGTCCCCATTTTTTTTTAATCATGAAGTAAAACAAAGATTAACAAACAAGAATAAAATCAAAAGTTCAGGCAAGGAAAGTTGTAAGCTCAGATTAAACACTTCAAACTCCAGCAGCATGAAGCCACTCACTGGAGACATGTAGTACGGCGTCCCGACAAACGTCTTTGCAAAGCTGGTGTCATGGTTCAGGATCCTCGCCAGGCCAAAGTCGCCCAGTTTGACATTCTGCTTGATGTCGAGGAAGATGTTGGCTGGTTTCAGGTCCCGATGAAGGACTGTGGCCCTGCCGTCACTCCGCCTGTGACACTCCTTCAGGGCCAACGTGAGCTGGGCCATGACTCGCAGGATGAACTGCTCCTCCAAATAGCGCCTGTCAAGGTAAAAAAAACACATGCATACACCGATGAAGGGAAAGGATTCACCAGCATGCAACCGTCAGTATCATTTAGCATTCAACCCCACCTCTCCTTGATGCAGCGGCTGATGAGACTGGACAGGTCGCCGCCTTCGCAGTACTCCATGACAATGTACAGAGTGGTGTTTGTCCGGTCTATGATGCGGTCGTAGTACCTCACTATATTTGGGTGTTTGAGCTCCCTCAGCAGGTTCACCTCTGACACCAGCATCTGCTTCTCACCCTCTGCCATGGTGCCATAATCCAGCTCCTTCCACACCAGGATCTACGATACAAACCAGCTTTGAATTAACCAGAATTACAGAGATAAAAGTCAAAGAACCGTGGTTATCTGAATCAGAGATCAGAGAATGTCCTTCCATAAAGGCCAGTGTCGTAAGAAGACAAGTGGAAGCTATGGAAAAGTAAAGCTAACTCGGGCAACTTGTCTTTATTCTAGAACACGGGTGGGGGAACGCTAGGCTTCAAGGGCTGGTGTCCTGCAGGTTTTAGATGTGTCCTTGATCCAACACAGCTGATTCAAATGGCTAAATGACCTCATCAACATGTCTCCAAGTTCTCCAGAGGCCTGGTAATGAACTAATCATTTGATTCAGGTGTGTTGATCCAGGGTGATATCTAAAACCTGCAGAACACCAGCCCTTGAGGCTTGAGTTCCCAACTCCTGCCCTAGAAGAATAGAATAGAATTCAACTTTATTGTCATTGCACATGCACAGGGCAACGAAATGCAGTTTGCATCCATCCAGAAGTGCTTTAGTGATATAGATATATTACAATATATATTAGCAATAATATAGATGTGAGTATATTACAGAAATGGGTCTATTATGGTATGTTATAATGTACACGGTATGAAGTATGTTGTGAATATTGTATAACTATAAGTATGTACAGGCTGTAGTGAGTACAAGCTATGTACAGGCTATGAACAGGATATAAATATGAAAAACTATACAGAATATGAAATAAATAACTTTACAGAAATCTGAG